CGCAATCTCAAGGAGTTGACTATCAAGAAATCTTTTCACCTGTGGTGCGTTATACTTCAATTAGATCCTTATTAGCTGTGGCAAATATTTGTGATTGGAAGATTAGCCAAATGGGTGTCATGACAGCTTTCCTACAAGGTGAACTAGACGAAGTAATTTTTATGAAGCCACCCGAAGGTTACGTAGATCAAGAAAGGCCTGATCATGTGTGCAAGCTAAATTATTTCTATGGCCTAAAACAAGCTGCACGATGTTGGAATTCTGCTATTGACACTTTCCTGATATCAAATGGGTACACAAAGTCGAATGCAGATCCATGTATATACATCAAGTCCATCAAGCGCAAGAATTGAAAGATTGACTTTGTTATACTAGCTCTGTACGTTGATGATATCTTGTGTTTTTCTAACAACATAGAAATGCTGAAGAAAGAGAAAGAAGCACTAGCTAAAAGATTCCAAGTAGAAGATATGGGAGAAGTAAGTTATGTTCTTGGTATGTCTGTGAAGCGAAATCGTGAAGCAAGGACACTTACTATTAACCAGCCAAAGTACTTGGAAGGAGTACTGAAGAGATTTGGAATGCAGGAGTGTAAACCTGTTTCAACACCATTGGAACCAGGGAGGAAATTTGAATCATTATCAGAGAATGATACACCAATTGATGTTCGAGAGTATCAGATGGCAATAGGTTGTTTAACGTATGGAACTACTGCTACACGTCCAGACTTAGCTGCTGCAGTCGGAATTCTTTAAAAGTATATGGCTGCACCTGGAAAAGATCATTGGCAGGGAGTAAAAAGAGTTCTACGATATATCAAAGGGACATTTAATTCTGGTCTCACGTTTACTGCTCATGGTAATAATCCTGTATTGTATGGTTATGCTGATGCTGACTGGGGAGGCAATGTCGAAACTCGACGTTCTACATCTGGATATGTGTTCCAGATACAGAACAACACGATTAGTTGGTTCAGTAAAAGGCAAGCATCCGTTTCAAGATCAACAACAGAAGCAGAATACATTGCCTTGAGTACTGCATGTCAAGAAGCAGTTTGGCTCAGAAGATTACTTTCTGATATTGGTTTGAAGCAAGATGTTCCATCGACAATCTTCGAGAACAATCAAGGGGCGAATGAACTCTCTAAGAATCCAAAATTTCACAATCGCACTAAACATATTGACGTGTCTTTTCATTTTATAAGAGAACAAGTCAATCGTAATATAGTTTGTGTCAAGTATTGTCGAACTGAGAATATGCTAGCTGATGTAATGACAAAAGCTTTACCAAAGGTATATTTTGAAAGGTTTAGAGACATGATGGGAGATAAAAGACATTGTATGATCAAATGACATTCAGATGCATTTGAGTTGACATTTTTTAGTTTATAGGTGATATAATGAACTTTTTATTTTCATCATTTATTTGCCACAACACAACAAGAATATAGATATTTACATTAATTGTAGTTTGAGTGTCAAAGTTGAGCAGTGGCGAGAAGACCTCAAGAAGCTAAAAGGCTTATATTAAGAGGCCATCTCATTTGTTAAAATAATTTTGTAATAAATAAATTGAGTGAAGAGGAGGCCTAGTGACAGTCGTCATGAGGCCCCCTAGTTCACTGTGATAACTCAGAATAAGATCATATCTTTGTACAAGTTCAAAACACACATACATTACTACATAATATAGAAGTTAACTAAAACATGTCGATTTCGACGTCTATACGATATTATAATTTTCAAGTAGGAAAATGCATAATTGATTCTTGAAAGAGGAAATGGTGGTTTTAGCCGTAATATATGGTGGAAAAGAATTCCATGTATTCGGACCAACAGAAAGAATAGTGAATTGCTTTATGTTTGTCCGACACGCGTGAGGTCTGTAATATGTAGCCGATCTAGTGTTATAGCTATGTACTTGATTGTTTGTGATAAATAAGTTATCGAAACATTCAAGTAACAAGTGATAGTGGTATTTATACATAAATTTACCTATGTAAAAGGAATTCAATTTAAATATATCTAATATTTTTAACTGATAGAATAACGGAGAGGAGTGGGCACGGTAGTCAGAGTTCGTCAGAGCTCTTACAACCCGTTTTTGGAGAAGATAAATTCTGTTTAGATTAGTTACATAAGTAGAGGACCATACAATATTACAATAGGTTAGATAAGGATATATAAGAGTATAATATAAGCATAACTTTGTTGTAGGTGATAAAAGATGGCGAGACCTGTAGATAATTCCAACAGATTTCGCTATCTTTTTACAAATATTATTTATGTGAATTTTCCACGACAAATTCTCATCAATATACACACCTAAGAATTTGATACATTGCCTCTGGGTGAAGGTTTGATTGTTGTACTGGAGACATAAATTTATATTTAATTTTCTTTATCTGGGCCGAAAGATAACATAATTAGTTTTACTAATATTTACAGATAATTTGTTTGATTTCATCCAAACGTCTAGGTTTGCCAGTTCACGATTTAAGATAATCTCGAGATTTTTAATATCCAGATGTGAATAATATACGCTAGTGTCATCAGCAAAAAGAAACGATTTGGCCAATTCCAATGCATTTGGGAGATCATTTATATATAAAATAAAGAGTAGCGGACCTAGTATTGATCCCTGAGGTACTCCACATTTTATTTTATTGAAGGACGAGCAAGTGTATCTAAATTGTACAAATTGCTCACGATTTAACAAATAGCTTCTGATCCACTGCAAGGCCACACCTCGGATACCATAGTACTCCAATTTTGAAAGTAAAACTTGGTGGTCTAGCGTATCAAAAGCTTCCGAAAGATCAATAAATACACCAGCAGCTATATGGTCTCGGTCGATGTCCGATGCAATATTGTTAACTAATGAAATGAGCGAATGGGAAGTAGAGTGCTTACTACAGAAACCAAACTGAAATTTATATAAGATTTGATTGAGATTTGAGATATAAGATTTTCATTAACTGGGAGTGTTGAACTGAATACTTCATGTAAACGTTAGTATAATGACTCACTCATTGTTAGATTAAATCACGTGATAGGGAAGCATGCTTTTATTCTTTTTATGCTTCGCTAAGCAGGTTCTATACGTCGTGTATACTTCTCATTAAAAAACTACAATGAAATATGTTTACGGTTAAAGTCGATCAATTTCTAACAAAAACTTTATTACTTGTGTTGCACATAATTGTGCGAACAGATGGGATACTTTTACAATATTTCAGTTGCTGTACTTCAAATTGCTGAACTGAGATTATTTTAAAATAGATAATTATAAACGGTAACGTGCAAAAGTAGCTGAAACCGTTAAACAACGTTTTTAAAATTTATGCCCATAAACAATGACGTCCTGTATACTATTACTAAGCAGCATAACCTTCAGTTCTGTTGCTGCAGTTTGCAGTGACACTTTACATCAATTAAATGTATTAGAAGTTCAGGAGCATATTTTGAATATGAATGCATGGTAGTTTTTTAAACTATTTGTCTCCAACGCTACCACATGTCCTTCGATAGCTCAGTTGGTAGAGCGGGGGACTGTAGTTGTTCCCAGCAATAATCCCTAGGTCACTGGTTCGAATCCGGTTCGAAGGATTCTAAACTTTTAGACGTGTTGATAAAAAGCTAAAAAAGCTTCCTCTTTCTTATACATGAACTTGATCTACTACATCGAATCTGGAGTAAGTGTCCAATGGTTCAACCATTTCTTAAAGTAGAACTGAAGATGACAGAGAAGTACTAATTGATGAAATTATTACTGAAAAAAACACATGCGCAATGAGAGAGTGAACTGTTTTACACCTGAACTGGCTTGTGTGCTTGCCGATTTTAAGGGGTTATGCAGGTAGAGACGCAGGCTCCGAGTATTCCTGCCTGGCAAACTATTCGACGAACACTATATTTCCGGTTATCAATTGATGTTAGTAAATTGTGTACGCATGCAAGAGGAATTTAAATAATCTTCACGCTACTTCAGCTGCATGTAAGTCATAATAGCGAATATACGTATAAATCACAATATTATTCAAATTCGTGACGTTGGCCTCTAGGCACATCCCCACATTTGGTATGCGTCACGCAAGAGAAATATCACCTGTTCGTAAAGTATCAAAACCGAACGTCAACAATCGTCGGTAGTATAGTGGTGAGTATCCCCGCCTGTCACGCGGGAGACCGAGCAGCATGCTTTTTGTATCTGCGAAGCAGATATATTGCCATCGTGCGCGTACCGGAAGTTTGTAAGCGTGCTCATAGCCAATCAACGACAGCGTATAGATGAAATGACGTAATGATACTAATTTCAAAATGGCGGTTTACTGAAGGGTGAAACAAAAGGCAATTTGTGAATTTACGATTCAAATTATACATCAAACGCAGTTTGAAACAACGTCATTTTACTAGTCTGAATATGACAAATGTCGATAGTGCATTTTTGGCAAGCATTTGAAGGATTTCATCATTTAATACGCATTGGAAACGAAATGATTCGCAATTTTTGACAAGAAAATTATTGACTAATGGCATTGAGAATACTATAATGAAACTGTTTCCTTAGTTCAAGATTAGACACGACGACGAACGCAACATTTCAGGATTTTCATCAATTTAATAATACATAAATGTGATACCAGATAATCTGAAGCTACAAAATACAAATATGACAATGTTTACGATATAGATCTAAGAAATAAAGTTCAAAATGGCGTAAATTAGGTAAACGTACATTTGTCCGACTACGTCCATCGTTTCTAACCTTTCTTCAACAATAACATTTAAATAATTTGTTTCTTTACTTTAATTTCACTTCGTGCTGGCCGCCATCTTTGTTTTCGTTTATTTCGCCCCAGTCCTCTAGCGGCTCTCGCTTTCAAACGCAACATACCCCCAGACAATGGGAGAATCCCATTTAATCTTTAAAGCCTTCGACAGGATAAATAACACAGAGCTTCGTAATTGGGCGTCTATGATTTCCAGTTGCTGTTTTCACTTCCACATTTCTGATTAATCCGTCATCTCCTGGGAATACTCGGGTAGCTCTTCCATTTTGCCAATTTCTCCGTACAGCATTAGGATCAGCGATGATAACCCAGTCATCTACACGAACATTTCTATTCTTTCTGTTCCATTGTTTTCTTGGTACTAAGCGAGGCAATACTTCTACAGACCATCTCTTCCAAAACGAGTCTATAATCCTTTGACAGAATTCGAATCTGTGACGTGGATTGTTAGTTTTGTGGAACGGTCCTTGCGGAACAGCGTTGGTGGCTCTGCCTAAGAGGATATCATTAGGACAAATATATTCTCCGTCATCGGGATCTTGCGACAGCTTACCAATAGGACGTTGATTCAGCAGATTAGCTACTTCTACAAGACACGTGTGTAGCTCGAACGGCGTTAATAAAGTGTCTCCAATCGCTTTCTTGATCGCTTTCTTACAGGACTTTACCATGGACTCGGAACATCCATTTTGGTGGGGGGCAAGAGGTGTTGTGAACTGCCATGTTATTCCTCTGTCGGCACAATACTCCTTTAACTTGTTCTTATCCCAACCTTCGATCATGGCTCTGAGCTCGTTCTCTGCTCCGACCATCTGAAGTCCGTTATCAGACAGCATCAATTTCGGGTAACCTCTGTACGAGAAGAATCTTCGTAGGACTTGAAGAAACTCCATCGCACTTGCGTCGACAGCGAGTTCGCAATGAACAGCTCGCGTGTTCGTGCACGTAAATATAACTCCGTAATGTTTTGTCGTTTTATTTCTTCCGACTTTCACCTTTATTGGACCAAAATAATCGCAGGAGGTAAACATAAACGGTGGTGTGTAAGGCTGAAGGCGTGATGCAGGTAAGTTGGACATAAACTGGTTCTCTACTTTGGCTTCGATCTTTCTACATAAAGTACAACGATTTTTCTCTGCTTTGGCGACGTCGTGACCTCGGATCACCCAATATTTTCTTCTGGTTCTTGCGGTTGTGGTGTCAACGCCTGAATGGCTGATTTGATGGGCATTGCGTGTGACGAGTACAGAAATCCAATGCTTTCGAGGCAACAGAGCGGGCGTGTGTTATCGTAAGATACAAGACTTGGGTTGACACGACCACCAACTCGGATGATACCTTTTGGATCTACGAATGGGGTTAACGTTTTAAAGTCTCCTTTCTTCATCCGCTTCATAAGGTCGATTTGAGCAATCTTTAGCCAGTATTCTTCGGCACTCTGGATCTCTCTGGGGTTAAGAGGGCCTTCGTAGGTGGGAAAGTCCTTGTTGCGGGATAACTTCGCTCGGACATTATGGCAGAATGGAAGGACATAAGCGGTGGTTCGAAGAAGACGTTTCC